AAGACATGCAGAAAGAAAAGGACACACAGCCGACTCCCAGATTTTCCAGCTATCTTATCTGACATGCCAGACATGTGAGGTAAAAGCCACCTTATATTTTTAGCCTCGCTTGAGCTTTCATACAGACGCAAATATATGATTCACTCCAGGCAAGATCAGCAAAAGAATCGTGCAACTGTGTCCAGCTATGATTGCGAAATAAAAAGCAAATAAATGAAGTGGTTTGCTTTGTTACAATAAATAACTGATAAACCTTCCATGAAAGTAAACAGACTGCAGTGTGTGTGTTTCAGTACTTCCTTTCACATGCCAGACCTATATAATATAAACATTAGTCATTACCCAAATAATGAGGATGTCATAAAACTACCATGTTACATATACCCATACATGTAATAAGACATGTTACTACAATATGAGAGGACTTCCAAAAAGTCTGTGAAAAGATAAAATTAAAATCTGAGTTTATGGGGCCACCAGGTAGACAGTGGTTAAGGTGCTGAACTCCCACATGGCCAACTGCAGCTCAAGTCCCAGACCTGGCAGTTTGCTTTCTCACTCTCCTCATCCTCGTCTCTCTCTGGTGACCTCATGTGCCCTATAGCAAATTTAATAATAATAATAATAATTAATTAAAATACATAATTCTTTTAAAAATATATGACTATATAGGCAGGCAGGTTGCATAGTGGTTAAGCACTGGACTCCCATATGGCTGACCATGAATAATAATAATAATAAATTTAATTAAATAAATAATTCTTTTTTAAAATATGGGTTATTTCAGTGCAAAACAACTTGGAAACACATATATAGTTTTTCCATAACATGTGCTTTTCAAAAACTTTTTAAAGACTTCTCATATATTGATATTACATAAACCTATTTATTTGTTGTATTTGTTATAAATAAATATAATATTACATTTATATTTATTTGTATATTATACAAATATAATACTATTTGATATTATATTTATCATGTCAAAATTCTCTACTTTTTAATTTGTCCTGTTAGAGATATCTATGAAATCTCTTAATTTATTATGAAATGTTATCAACTGTTCAAATGAAAAGCCTGGGGACCAGAAGATGGTAATGGTTATGTTGTTGGACTCCTGTGTAGTCAACTGCGGTTCAAGTCCTGGATCTGGTGGCTTAAAACTCACGCCAAACACATGCCTAAAATCCTGAGAGGAGAATGGAGGAGAAGGGATAGCAGCATGGTGGGGGGTGATTTCTCACTTTCTCTCTCTCTGTCTCTCTGGTGAGTGCACGTGCACTACAGCAAAAATCTCTCTTAAAAAAATTAAAAATTAGAAAAAGAAAAGCCTGAGGAAAGTGCATCTGAGGAGTAAAATACTTTTCATATAGAGGACTAAAGTAGGTTTATTAAAAGACATATTATTCAGTTTCTTTATGTTTTCCCTATTCAAATACTAATTCTCTTACCTTCATCCTTTTCAAAGGATTATTCAACTCTCGCTGGAATGAAGCAGCTCTTCCTGAAAGGAAGGTCTGAAAGGCAACAGCCAACAAATTTTCATACTTTTCAAGTAGTGTTTTATCTTCAGGAGGATAAATTCGTCTACAATAAAATCAGATAAACCAATTTGCTTAAAAGAAACTATCACATCTCAACAGATAAGGCCAACTGCATAGATATTCCTTGACCTCCTACTCTGTGCCAGTCACATTACTAAATGCTGAGAGTAAAATGAATGCAGTTTTGAAAAATTCATACATTTTCACCTGTTACCCACAAAAATTAAGTTTATCTAGAGAATTCTCATGAAACAGTAGAGTTCCAGAAGTTCTACTATAAGGGCTTGGTTGGGGAAAGGTGATTGGAAAATGATGGTAACAGGGCAAACTGGAGAAATACAAAATTCTATGGGAGAGACAAGGTGATGAGGGATAATGCAATATTGACTTCGTGTTGTTACCAAAGTACATAAGACCATGAGCATTCGTACTGATGGGCTTTTTTTGGGAGATGTAATATACCTCTCTAGGAGAGAGAATTGGGTAGAAGTGGGTGAGAGGAATGCATTCTCCTCACAACTGTTGGTGTGTTGAAGGTGTAGAGGCCACGAAAGAATATTTTACCAGGAGTATGTGAGAAACTATTGGTTTAGTTAAGAAACTATCAAGAAAGTCATGATGCACTTTTGCATAGAAAAATATGTCATGACTTTCCCAACAAGCTACTATATCCCTACACTTTCCTTATTTCCACAAGGGCCATGTAAAAGCTTGGGAGGAGGGACAACCTTCCAAGCCTGTGATAGAGAGAAAGGCTGGCTTCCCTTCGTTTTTTTTTTCGGTTCAGCCTAGTCCATCCCCCTCTCTATTATTTCATGCTTGCCTCCTTCAAATATTTTCATTATTTGCTTGATTCCTGAAGTATTTGGGTTTAAAACAAAGTATAGCAACCACTCTGAATTGGCATACAGTATACTAGGGGGCCTGAATCCTGACTTTCTTAAAATACAACCACAGGACTTTTTTACTGCTTGTTAAAAAGACCTCCTGCAACTACCTCAGAGGCTGGTTCACAGGAGCCCTCTCAAGTCTGAGCCTCTACTTGCCTCTTCTCTAAAGATATCAGGCAAAAAGCACTTTCTCCTTCGAATAAAAAAAACAATGCTTAATATAAACCTCATGGTTAAAAAATGTCGAGACCAGCAGTTAGCATAATGGCTAGGTCACCGGACTCCCACATAGTCGACTGCGGTTGGAATCCCGGAACCAGTGGCTTAAACTCACATCAGGCGTGCATGTGTGTGTGCCCAAGATCCAGAGAGGAGAATGGAGGAGAAGGGATTGCGGTCTGGCCATCCTCCCTGGGGGGTGATTTCTCTTTCTGTCTTTCTGTCTCTCTGTTTCTCTCTGTCTTTCTGGCGAGCTCGTGCACTCTATAGCAAAAAAAAAAAAAAAAAAACCTCTCCAGGAAAAAATAAAAGTAGAATGATTGATTTGACACTTCACTTCTTAAATCTATACAAAAATGGCAGCATAGTCACCTATAATTCCCCATATGTCGATTTTCATGTTCTTCTCGTGAGATCTGCTTTCGTACTTGAGCAAGTCTCTCTTTCTAGAAATAAAGAAATTTTTACAAATTAAATCGTACAAATAAATCATACAACTCAAACCATGTGTATTTTGTAAAATTTTCATACCAACTCTTCTTTCCGCCTCTCTAACTGGTGTCTCTGCTGTTCCCAGTCTGAGGAACCTGGTAAGAGCCGTTTTATTGAATTTTGACCATAAAGCCTCCTTTGAGCCTCAGCTTTTTGTTTGGCCAAGTTTCTCCTTTTATCACTAGTCCTAAAACAGAAAACACAAGACCATATTCTAGAATTCAAACAAAGTCTGCAGAAAAAGAGACATACGGGAGATAGAATCAATGTTTATTAAATTTACATATTCACATTCATTATATTTACCTAACCATCCATAAAATATGGGACTCCATATGGTAATTAGAAGCCTTGAAATAATAAGATAAAATAAAATAGTATATGATTTAAAGAATTAGAGAGATCTAATTTCATATTCTATTCTAGCAACTTTCCAGCCATACAATCTTAGACTGGCCAATTAACTGCTGAGTCTGTTTCATCTATTAAATGTTAATAATAACGTTTCTTTCCCAGAATTATTATAAGGATTAATTCATGGTAACATTAATAGGTACTTAATATTGGCTCTCTTCTTCTTCAGCCAAATACATTTATATTTAAGCATTCCCATTTACACTGACCACTTCATTACATTTCTAGTTGACTGAAATCCCTGCCTAACAATCATCATGAATTTTAAAATAACTGCATAGTCCTCATTTTCTCTCAATCATGAAAATTTAATTATAACACCCTGGTTTTTATGGAAAAGTCCTGTTGTGGGATTTTCCTCTGAACCCCTTTTCTTTTTCTATTCTTTTCATGTAGCTGGTACAATAAGATAACCCTGAGGTTTCTTCTTCCCATCTCACCTCCCAAATGGAATTCTCACATACCACCCTTGAAAGACAGGAAAAGATTAGACTCCAGGGGAAAAAACGCAAAGCCAATTTTGCCTTCAGCCTTAAGAAAAAAAAAAAAAAAGTTCTTATCCTCAATCTTGCTTTTCTTTGCCTCTTACTGTCATTAGCTTGGTAGAGTCAGGTAAGAGTAGAAACCACAGGGAAGAGGACAAGAAGGCCTTTTGGCCAGTTTCTAGTGTGTGGATCTAAAAGAAGTACTGAAGTTTACATAGAGTCTCATTCATTGAGACGTTGCATTGAGAATATGAGGCCAAAATCCTAGGTAATAAAAATGTTCTTTTGCCTCAAGTATGTACCACCCTCATGACTTGAACTTGCAAGAGGGCTAGAAAGTCGATCTGTTCTCTTTCATAATTAAGCCAATATTGAGGTTTAAGTCGCAGGAGTCAACAGGTGATCAATGCAGAAGGAATAATTTGAAAAAAGAAATACACACATTCAGAAAACTACAAGTCATTCATTTGGTGTAGCTGAAGCTACAGGTGAATGCAAAAAAACTCTGGGATCAGCAGTTGGAGCAATGACTATGTCACTGGACTCCCATGTAGTCAAACGCAGTTTGAGTCCCGGACCTCGTGGCTTAAACTCATGGAGGAGAAGGGATTGAGGCGTGGTCATTTCTTGTTTTCTGTCTCTCTTTCTCTCTCTGTCTTTCTGGCAAGTGCACAAGCCCTATACCAAACACCCCCACCAAAAATAAAAAGAAGAAACAGCTAATGGTAAGGGCTTGAATACTAGATTGCTGAGTCTCACATTTAACTATAGGCAATGGAAAGGCATATATTTAAAAAGGAGAAAGACGGGCATAATCATATTTGCATGTATTAAGGATTTGTCCTTAGCAGTCTGTACAGTGGCTTAGAAGTAGATAAGAAAGAAAGCAGAGAGTTAGGATGAGGGCCAGTCAGTGAAGTAGAGGCTAAAGCAGCTGAATCCCACATGGCTGACTACACAGTTGAGTCCTGAACCTAGCCACTTGAAAGACACACAGGCATGTGTGTGCATGCATGCCCCAAATCCTGAAAGGACAGAGAGACAGAGCAGGAGGGATTGCAGTGTGACCATACCCCATGGGGGGCATTTTCTCACTTTTCCTCTCTCTGTGTCTCTCCAGCGAGTGCACATGATCTCTGACAAATTAATAATAGGAAAGAAGAAAAGAAGGGAAGGAGCTAGAAAGGGAGGAAAGGAAGGAAGGAAGATTAATATACCGTGTCATTAGCAATATGAAATAGGAGGGCCTGGATCAGGGAAGCAGCAATGAGAAAAGGGTAAGTCTAGAAGAATATTTCAGAAGAAGAACGGATTTGCTTTGATGACTAATTAGGGTAAGGAATAAAAAATAAAAGGTGAATTTGTGATGACACCAAGACATTAAAGTAAAAGGAGGTGGGGGAAAGGTAACAAATGAAAAGAAGACCATAGAAGGACAAAGACCAACAGTCAATAAGAGGAAAGAGAACGGAGAGAGGAAACACAACAGAGAAGGAAAGTGGAAAGAAAATGAAAAAGCACTGAGATGCTCTGGTGAGTGTGTTATGAGAGAAAGGAGGGTCGACTTCGATGCACATCCACAGCTGGCCAGACACTCACTGGCAAGGATGTGAATACATAAACCGTTCAGGCTCACACAAAGAAGAGTAATAAATATAAGGACACATGGAAGTTCCTCCAAACACATTAAGAAGCGAAAAGTCAAGCACCCTGAAATATTTTCTGTAAAGGAACGCTGCCATACTCCGGCCTTTGGGAATGCTGTCACTCTAAAAGCCGTTGGCATTTCTACGAACACAGGCCTAAATTAGCACTAACAACTCTTAGTAGTTATTTCACAGAACAGAGTAAAGTTTAACCAAGGACCAGAAGATTACCATTATTTAACGTACCATTATTTAATAGCATTTTTCTACTACTCAATTTTATCCACGCACTGACTGATGGAGTTTCGTTTCCCATTTTCTCAAGTCCTTTCCACTATTTATTACCCTGTGGTTCCATCCAAGGGCTTTCTCCACTCACTGGCCTCACATGCTCTGTGCTCCAGTTATATGGGGCCACGGGAAGTTCCATGAACATGCTTTGCTTTGTTTCACCTCCTTACCTTCCTACAAGGAGTTACCCTGGAATGAAATGCCCTCTCCCCAGCCTTGTGTCACCACCCACATTTTATTCAGTACTCACTATATAGTAGCTCTAGATCTGGCCCTGGAGACACAAAGGGAAATAGACAGGGCCGCTGCCCTCAAGAAGCTGACAGTCTAAAGCGGGCGGGAGCAAAGGCAGGTAAACAGATAGATGTCTAGGGCAGGAGGAGTGCTATTTGAAACATGATGGTAGGTACTGAGAAAGCACAGAGGAGAAAGCAAGCCAGTGCGCCTCAGCAACGGCTTCAGACAGAAAGTCAGGCTGGAGCTACGTTTTCAGAATGATTTGACAAAAATGTGGGATACTCGTACATACAATGGAATGTAATTCGGCCCTAAAAAGGAAGGAATTCTGACACATGCTGTGACAATGACAAATCTGAAGACACCGCAAAGTGAAATAAGCCAAAAACAAAAGGCCAAGTACTGTGTAATTCCACTCCTATGAGATACTTAGGGCAAAGCGCTCAAATTCGTACAGATAGAAAGGAGAATGCTGGGGGCAAGGACAGAGACAGGGTGAAATGGGGAGGGTGCTTAACAGGTATAGAGCTTCAGTTTTTTAAGGTGGAAACAGCTCTGGAAACGAATGGTGGTGACAGTCATAAAACAATGTGAATGTACTTAATGCCACTGAACTGTACACTCAAAGTCAAGTGTATTTTACTGCAGTTTAAAAGATAAGTTAACACCCAGCAGAGGGACAGAGGTGAATAAATATTTAAATGACAAATGCAAAATCATGGAAATGTGAAACAGACCACAAAATACTTCTTGAAAAATCAATTCCAAGGCAGAGGGAAAAAAAGAACACAAAATGATCAGCTTGGAGAGACATGCAAGGGCCAAATTATATACAAGCATTTCGTACACAGAGTACCTGCCAGTGGCATGGTGGTTAAGGATCCCAAATGGCTGACTACACAGTTGAAGTTCCAGACCTGGTGGCGTGGGCACGCATGCCTAAAATCTCAAGAGGAGAATGGAGGAGGAGGTACTGCAGTGTGGTTGTCCTCTGGGGGGGAGGGGGGGTTTTCTCACTTTCCCCTCTTTCTCTCTCTGTCTTTCTCTCTTCCTCTTTTTCTCTCCCCTACCCCCAATCCCTCCAGGAGTGCAAGAGTCCTATAGTCATCTAATAAAAAAAAAAAATTTTAAAGCGCTGTTTATGTAATGAATAATAAAAGAGCTTAAATGTTATCTAATAGTGTGGAAACAGTCAAATCAGAAAATCAGGGTTTATAAATATCTCTTCAGATGTTGGCCTCCCTCAGGGCTCTATCCCTACCCTTCATTACTTCTCAAAATATACACTCCAACTGTGTGATCTTACCCATTAGATTCAGCTGCAATCTATGATATACATGAGTATCAATGAAATAGATATCTCTATCTCATATATATCAAATTTTCTATTTAACCGTTTTGCCTGGGAATCTCAAAACACGTCAAAATTAGCATGTTTAAAACAGAATTATCTCTCTACCTTCCCTCATCACTCCCCTAAGCCTCTTTCTGGCCTAAAATCTTTATCTCAATGAACGGCATATTATCAAACAAGGCATCTAGGCCAGAAGCCTAACTGGCAATCACTGACTTTGAATTTCCAGTACCTACTGCAGAGGTAGCAGGCACTCAAAAATAGCTGTTGAGTTATTTGCAGAGCAAAAGAGTGGAAGTTGCAAAATGGGATAGACATCAGTGCTAGAAGCAGTGAAAAAAAAAAAATCCAGTAAAACAGTCTAAGAGAGAGATAAAAACTTCTTAAATTTGAAGAGAAGAAATTAAGTGACAGAAATTTGACAGGATTCAATTGATTCATAATAAAGGAAACAGTTAAACATATCCCCCCAACTTTCTGGCCTGGACTTCTATGTGGATATTTTGCCATTAGCTAGCAAAACAAAGAAAGATAGAAAGAAGGTTTGGAGGGCGGGACAGCAGGAGGCATGGTGGTTAAGGCGCTAGACTGCCTACATGGCTAACTCTGGTTTGAGTCCCAGACCCAGTGGTTTGAATATCACACCGGGCATGCGTATGTGCATACCCAAAATCCCAAGAGGTGAATGCAGAAGAAGGGATTCTGGTTTGGTCATCCCCCCTAGTTGGGGGGAGGGCAATGATTTCTTACTTTCCCTCTGTCTCCCTGGACAGTGCACATGCCCTATGACAAAAACCTAAATAAAAAAAAGTAGGTTTGGGTGGTTATTATTGAATTGTACTTATCTATGAGCATATATATTTCCCTTTTAATAACTAAGCTACTTAAGAAGGGGCAACTTTTTTTTTTTTTTCTGGAGAGATTTTTGCTATAGGGCACACGTGCTTGCCAGAAAGACAGGAGAGAAAGCGAGAAATCACCCCACAAGAGAAGATGGCCACACCGCAATCCCTTCTCCTCCATTCTCCTCTCGGGACCTTGGGCATGCACGCGCACGTGCCCATCATGAGTTTAAGCCACCAGGTCCAGGACTTGAACTGCTGACAATTACATGGGAGTCCAGCGACATAGCCAAGATGCCAACTGCTGGTCCAGAAGGGGCAACTTTTTAAATGTTTGTATCTGTGGCTTCTAGTGCTATAGACTCTTTTAAAATATCCAATAAATATATATGAATGCTTTGATTTAGCCTTTGTAGGTTGGAGGTATTTGATACTGTTAGCAGAAATAAAGAAGATAAACCCAGCAAAAGGAACATGACTGAAGAAGAAAATAGTTTAATTTCAGTCAGACTGAACTTAAGTGTCATCAGAACAGCCATTCATCCATTTATTAAGTTACTTGCTCATTCGCTCCATGTTTATCAAGCACCAACTAGACCAGAAGTATCTGGTACACACGATCAACAGAGAGCTGCAAATGCAGAATGAGAGTCCCGCAGTGGGTCAGAGCTAGACTCAGAAGAGATGGGCACAGAAGAAAAAGGGCTGAGGCCAGAACATGGTGAAAAACAACAACTAGAGAATGAGAAGTAAGAGAAGCAAAACAGGGAGCCAGAAGAACGCTCAGCGTTAGGTGAACCCAGAGAATAGTGTCAGAAAAACTCAGCAAGGATAAACGTTCAAGGGCAGGGAAGCATTAAACGCTGCGAGTCTGTAGCCTAAGAATTAGTCCTAAATAAGGGCCAGGTAATCTAATCTAATTAAGAAGTATTACAGACCCAGCGACTCATGGGACTGTGAATGTCTTTATTTGAATTATTGAAATAGAATACGTAAGAAAATAACAAGACTCTTATCAACCCAGAAACACCGCCACAACATGTCTGTATTTTTTTTTCTTATCTTACAAATAAGAGGAAAATACAGTTACTTGTTCTCCATATAGCTCCTTTCATGCTTTCTTGTCTCTGAAGACCCCCAAGTCTACTGTTTCAAACTGTATGAATCTAAAATTGTACTCTGCCATCCAAATGCAAAGGGATCAATTGTGACCCCCTCCATGTGAGATTCATACTCACAGCAGTTGTGACAGAAAATCCTGAGCAATCTATACTCTTCTGAACTTCCTCGATACTAAATGTTACAAAATGAACACTGGGGTAATACAAAGCCATACTGTAGTGAAGCAGCACTATACTAACAATTGTGAAGACTACAAGAGTGTTTCTGGTAATCTGTGCCATAAAATTTGAATACCACCAAAAATCAAGGGAACTTTTGTATTCAGCTCCTTTTCTGTTGTAATGTTAGGATGTATATAGATTATTAATGCATGTCCACTAAATATAATTCTGGTTTTGTGATTAGATTTTATTCATGACATATTAGATTAGTGGTTGCAATAAATAACAAAATTCCTGTGTGATTACTAACATTTTGTCTCTAAGGAGAAAGTTATTTGTGAATATAACTTTGTGCTTAGAGAACGGGTTTTTATCTGCCAATATGGTAGGATATAAGTGGTTTGCATCATTCTGAAAAAATAAAAAAAGAGTTATGCTCTTTAACTTCAAGGAGATTCAATCAGATTGAAAAGAAAATCCATTCATGCCCGATAAAACAGCACAGAGCTTAAGTGTGTAAACACAGTGATACGCCATACACTATACAAACTATATTTTCCTTCTAGAGCTCAAAGAAAAGAACGATCGATTTGAGACAAAAGGAAGATTTCAGAAAAGAAGATGCACTCTGAGTTATGGGCAGTAAGGAAAGGCATTCAGGCTACGGAGCAGAGTAAGTAAATCATCAGTGTGAAGGGGCAAGTTCTGTAGGAAAAATAAGGAGATAAGCAGGCTAACTAAAACAGTTTGAGTTGGAGAAAAATAGAAAATAAGATGGAAGAGCTAAAGTTAGGTTACTGTAGGAAAGGAGCTTGGATCAGGTATTGGCAATATACACCTAGTTCTTAGGAAGGCCAGCAGGGAGTGTGATGGTTGAGGGACTGGACTCCCACGTGGCTGACCATGGTCCGTAGTCCTGGACCTGGCAGCTTGCTTTCTCACTTTCCCTCTCTTTCTGTCTCTGGCCAAATTTAAAAAAATAATAATAATAAATAGAATTAGATAAATAATTCTTAAAAAAGAGAGACCTGGTTAGGTTCTTGAACAGAAAGATAATATAATGAAAAAAGATCATTCTGATAGTCTGATTTAAATGAACATAAATAGGAGATGTCCAGAATCCCAGAACAATTTATTATGCCCAAAAGTAAAAGAGTCCATATGAAAATTAACCCTATAATATTTACTAAACAGACAAGAATTTTTCCATTCTTTTTTTTTCCAACAGGGCATGTACATTTGCCAGGGATAGGCAGAGAGAAAGAGAGAAAGTGAGAAATTACTTCCCTGAGGAGTGACCATGCCACAATCTCTTTTTCTCCATTCTCCTCTTGGGATTTTGGGTGTGCATGCACATGCACCCAGTGTGATTTTCAAGTCACCGGATCTGGGACTAGAACCACACAGTCAGCCTAGTCAGCCTAGTGGGATCCAGCCACCTCACGCTCCACGCCTCTTGCTAGCTCTTCCTAGTCTTCTTAGTTCTGCTTACATTCCTGTGATGTGCCCATCACAGATGTAGCCACAGTGACACTCAGCTCTAACACACTGTCCATGGAGCTGTCCACCTGGAGAGCTTCTACATCAAAAGCCTCATCAGCATACGCTCTAAATGTTAAGGACTGTGCTAAAGTCTCTATGAGATGACACTAAGATTAATCCCAATCTCCCCTTACTTTTAGACCTAGTAATTTCTGAACTGCTTAAACTGTTTCTACCTCATCTTTAAAAAGATCAAAATGCCCATAGATAAGCTCCTAGGTTGGTAGGGTCACTAGCAAAGTCAGAAAGCATGCCAAAAGAGGGGGAAAAATGGTAACTAAATGTAAGACTTACTAATAGTAAACTTTCATACAAACAGAAGGTAGATATGTATTATTGCTTAGATCATCTAAAATCTTAAATGTACCAGTATAATCTAAACAACAAGAAAAAAAAATTCCCTTTCTACATCGTGCTCCTTTCTACTCATCTCTTTAGGATAACTGAAGTGTAAGTAGAATATAGACAAGTCAGCTTTTCATCAGGCAAAGAAGAAGCCATATGAAAATTTCTGAACAGTTTTATCTCTCTTATTATTTGTTTACTTCTTCTATGAGAGAAACAGAGAGAGATAAATCCCCAACAGTGTCTTCACACTGCAATCCTACTCCAGCCTCAGGTAGCCAAATTTCTTTTGGTAAGAACAAACATCTTTCTTCATATAATAGCATTTCAAATATTTGAAATCCATTGCCAGGCACACTGCAACCAGCCCACCCACACCAATCAAGTCTTCTCTCCAATTTTACTTCCCTCTCTATCCTTTACAACGGGAAGGGTAATCTTCACTCAACAACTGCCTCTCCTGTTTACACAGACAGCATGATATAGTGGAAATATCTCTGGATAGAAAAATAGAAATCAGCCTATCTAGGTTTTTTGTCCCTTGAATGGCCTCTGGATGCTTCAGTTTCTTCTTGTAAGCTGAGGAAGGGTCCCCTAAGATATTTGCCATTCCAACCTTGTACTCCACATTAAATAATTACACCCACACTAATTTAACCACTTTTACTGCAGGTACAGAATATGATATGGCGAGCAGAAAAAGCAATGTATAGGACAAGGGGAAAACACATTCTTAAAAAGCTTTATGAATTTGAAGAATGGAACCAAGAAATTCAAAATACAAAACTATAAAAGGAAACAAGCAAATTTCATGTACAAATGATTCACCTAGGTCAAATGTGGAGAAAAGGTTTCAGAAGATGGAGGAAATACTTCACCTGATATTTAGCAGCTTCAGTGCATTCAGCAGCACCCCCCGTTTTACGTCATAGTCTATTTTCTGATCAGTTCCAAAGCTTGGGGCTCGATTAATCTGAAATTCAGAAAGAAAACAATGAGAGCAGCCAAATTCTGAAAGGTCAACAAATATTCAATATATATTTATTAGCTACCTTAAAGGTAGCTAAAGTGAGCTCTTCAACCACTAGAAGGACTCTACAATAAATCTCAGAGTTTACATGGTAGATGGCCCAATTACCATTGCTACACTTTCATGCCCCATGGCGCGAGGTCAAGGAATTGCAAAGAACTGGCTGTTGACACCTCTCCTATCCCGGCTACCTTAGTTCAGGATCATCAGGGTCACATTATCTAGCCTCTCTCTTCTCCACTCCCTATTACACCATGCCCTCTAGGTTTTAAATTTAGAGAAGTTAAAGCGATTTATCCTGAGAAAAAGGTTGAAAGGACAGTGATACTCACGTTACCAACATGGTAATAATTATATACATGTATACATTTAACATAGAGAAACTATTACTGCCCCCTTCTCAGGACTTCAGACCTTCCTGATGAGTTTCTCTATTGCTACTTTAAAAACTCCGTTTGTTTCTCTCTAAATGGCACAAACAATATTTCATCAATTTTCATTTCTTCTTTTTCTTTCTTTCTTTTTTTTAATTTTTTTTTTTGGAGAGGTTTTCATTATAGGGAGCGTGCACTTGCCAGAAAGAGAGAGAGAGAGACAGGGAAACAGAAAGCAAGAAATCACCCCCCAGGTGGGATGGCCACGCCACAATCCCTTCTCCTCCATTTTCCTCTTGGGATCTTGGGCACGCATGCACGTGCGCCTGGGTCCGGGACTCAAACCACGGTCGGCTACATGGGAGTCCAGTGACATAACCATTACACCAACTGCTCGTCCCTCATCAATTTTCAATTCAAAAGGCACTGACTGTATTACTGAGAATACACCTTTAAAGGTAGCTGCAGAATAACCTCTATGAACTTTTCTAATTACATAAGGACTAGTGGGAATAAATAAACTTTGAGGCTGTTTGACTTTCTGACATCATTTCCAGGGATTATTCATTAAGATGAAAAATAAGAAGTAACTCTTTATACCCTGAAATCCATGATACAATATTTTGCCACTTCAAAAGCTGCAGTTTTGTTTTTGTCTTTGCTGTGTTAGGTTTTGTTGTTGTTTGTTTTTCTTATGAAGCTGCAGTTTTGTTTTTGTCTTTGCTGTGTTGGGTTTTGTTGTTGTTGTTCTTATGGAAATGTAACTAGAATAGCAGGTATTTAAGAAAAGGTCTTAGTTGAATTAATCAATTAAAACACTGCTGAGGTCTTGGCATAAAATAACCTTAGAACTTTCTATCTTCTTATCTATTCCAGATTCTTCCTTCCCTCATAAAAGCAGTCAGTCTGTGAAGATATGTACCTATACAAGATAAACCAGTATGTGGAAAGGCAGAAAACCTTTTGCAATTGAATTATTCAGAGTTGTTCATCTTTGTCTTGTTTTTTGTTGTTGTTGTTGTTCTTTTTAATTTTATGAGAAAGGCAAGGGAAAAAATAAAAGAACCACAATGGTTGGCAGAAGAAACTCTAAACCTTAGGGTACCACCCCGCCAGTATTCTCCTCTGTAATACTGATGGTTTCTTTGGTGACCATTTCCTACCCCACTGCTACAATGGACACAATTCAGCAGATATTAATCTTTTTTTTTTTTTTTGGAGAGATTTTCACTGTAGGGCGCGTGCACTCGCCAGACAGACAGAGAGAGACATAGAGACAGAAAGTGAGAAATCACCCCCCAGGGGGGATGGTCACGCCGCAATCCCTTCTTCTCCATTCTCCTCTCGGGATCTTGGGCACGCATGCACACGTGCCCGGTGTGAGTTTTTTTTTTTTAAGCCACGGGGTCCGGGACAGGAACTGCGGTCGACTACGTGGGAGTCCAGCGACATAGCCATTACGCTAACTGCTGGTTCCCAGCAGATATTAATCTTAAAGTTCAAGAACTTACAAAGGCACACAAAAATAAAAATTACTAGGAAATAACATTATTAACTGTCTAATATATACCTTTATTATCAAAACAAGTACACTCATTTTGTGCACATATCAAAGTACCCATAGTAGATTCTGTACTCCTAAATTAGTGCTGTTGTCTCTGACCCACACCCTTCCCCTACCCCCACTACGTCCTTCTCAGCCCCAACCCCGTCCCACTTTCTATAGCCTTAAACAGTCTGCACAGCTATTCCTTCTACAAAGGCTTATTTTTAACTCTCAGATACACACAGGTACAAAGAGAGGTCAATCAGTCTACTGTTTATGCTATCCCCTTGCTTCCATGCCCATAATTATTGCTGTAAAAACACATATTCAGTGCTGGCCTGTTGACCTAGCGCTTAAGGAAGCCAAATCTCACATGGCCAACCGAGGCTCAAAGTCCAGCTTGAAAAACATATTAGGTATGTGTATATGCATGCCCAAAACCCAACGCGACGGAGAAATGAAGAGATTGCAGTGTGATCGTGCCTGATTGGAGGGTACCTTCTCCCTCTCTCCCTTTCTCTCTGACTGACTAAATAAATAAATAAAATATTCAAGTCTCCAATAAACCAAGGCATGTATTTTCTTATTCTTCTTGTATTCCCTCTACCCCTCTACCAGCACAATGATTATAGCTTAATCTGATGTAAAGGCACTTAGAGTATTGGCAGTATATTCCTATTCCATTCTATTTCTATATTTTCCCCTAAAAGTGATTGCTACATTTGAGAATTTCTGCGATTTTGCCACTACCAAACATCACTTGAAAGTATTTAGTTAACTAAAAGCTAACACATTCTCAGAAGCAATGTCTACCTTATTCCACTTGATGGCGCCAAAAGGTTTTTAAATATGTACATTAGACACTGCAATTTCAGCTGGCAGCAAAATACAAAGCAAGATCTAAGATTCTTTTAACTGTTTTAATATAAAAAATGTTCAGTATGCACAGTTGCTGGTTACTGTGGAGTTTTTCTAATGGCTTTGATTATTCTAGAACGATGAAAGAGAGAATAAAGAATAAACAAACATGAATGGAAACAATGGTATTTTGAGCCTTTAAAAAAATACAGAATTCAATTCTTAGTAAGCTAGTGGAAAGCTGCCACTGGGTAAATGCTTATTTTTTTAGACGGGTCCCATGATGTCACACTCCTCCTGCCTCAGCCTTTGGAGTAGCTGGGACATAAGCCAGGCACCATATCCGTCAGCTTTTAGGATGGGCCAGGAATCGAACTCAGGCTGCCATGTGACCTCAGTTTGCCCAGGAGCAGAGTCAACCAGCACCCGCTACCACAGCTGGGCTGCAAAGGCCTTCTTAAAAAGAAACTTCCTTGCTATTTTCTCTGTTCCTTTTTATGCATGTGCCTTACCACTTTCCTGCCCCATGAAGGATAAAAGACAAGTGGCAGGGGCAGAAGAACATATAGTTAAGAACAGGAAATACAAAATACACACAAATTAGTAAATCTAAACAAGAAAAGTTCAGGCTTTCATAAGATCAAGACCTCATGGCTCACAGTGAAGTGCTTTTAGATCCAAGGAACAGAGGAAGCAAAAATAAGCAAAACTGTTTTGTTTTTTTTTTAATTATTCTATTTTATTTTATTTATTCAGTCATTTATTTTAATTTGACAAGAGAGAGAGAAAGTGTGAAAGCAAGCCGCCAGATTCAGGACTTGAACCATGGTCAGCCATGTGGGAGGATCCAGCGCCTTAACCACCATGCCACCTGCTGGTCCTAAGCAAAACTGTTAACATTTATCTTATGTCTAGGTCCCAGGCTGGACCGAGTTTGAACACCTGACCAAAAACTGTATTTGCTCAGAGATACAGTACACATTATTGCTCATAACAGGTTAACACATGCACACGCACAATCTTTGGCCCTCAGATTAGGAAGGTGTTCATTTCTAAGAATAAACTTTGAGCACCTTGATCCTAGTTATCACTCATTCAGTTTACTTATGCAAATTTTTATAGCACAAATTCAACTTCCACTTTTAAGTCACTGACAGGATCAATTTAAATGAAAGGTAGTGGTTGACTACATCTTCTATAGCAGTATGTTCCTTAAAATGTAAGTGTATCAGTAATAAACACTACTTAAATACGTACTATTTTCCTCATAAAGTTTTCTAAACACGGTATTTCAGTGACGTGAGAAGGTTCTATGACCACAGATCAGGGAGCTTAGAAGGAATTGCTGGACAAGGTACTGCTGGACCACAGAACTCAATGAAAGTAATATCCAACACACATAGATTCTTCCTTAGTACTGAGCTATTTCCTCAATTTTCATTCTCTTCCTCACACGCTCCATTCAGGTTTCAATCTGGTCAGTCAACGGGACAGTCGTGCCACATTTAAAAACATCTGTGTTGATACATAAGAACAGTGGTAACTTCTCTTTTCTTAAACAGTGTCTTACCTCCAGGAGCCATGGCTTTAGTTTTCTATCCAACAAAATATCAAATCCTAGGACTTCGAAGCAGACACTTTCACTTCCTGGAGGTTGTCCAGGTCTGCACATTCGATAGGCATGCAGGACATGAGGTTCCGCTACAATCAGAGTCTTGACCACCAATTCCTATAAGATAGTGATAACAGAGGTGAGATGTCCTATTTCTCATCGTGTGCACAGATATGGCCTGGACCCACACACTGGTACCCTGGCCCCATTTACAAACTCTGTGGTCTCTAGCCCTGCTGCTGGCACTTCATCTCATCCCACTGTCCCTCCTCCCCCTGCATTCCAGTCACACCTGCTTCCTGTGGATTCCTCCAGTGAGTTACACTTCCTCTACCTAAAGTCCTTTGCACTGGCTGGTCCCTTCTTCCTGGGACACT